CAAGCAAGTCAGCATCTGTCATCCATAGAGGGAGACACAAGCAAGTCAGCATCTTGTTCATCCAGAGAGGGAGACAACAAGCAAGTCAGCATCTTGTTCATCCAATAGAGGGAGACAACAAGCAAGTCAGCATCTTGTTCATCCAAGAGAGGGAGACAACAAGCAAGTCAGCATCTTGTTCATCCAAGAGAGGGAGACAACAAGCAAGGAAGCATCTTGTTCATCCAATAGAGGGAGACAACAAGCAAGTCAGCATCTTGTTCATCCAAGAGAGGGAGACAACAAGCAAGTCAGCATCTTGTTCACCCAATAGAGGGAGACAACAAGCAAGTCAGCATCTTGTTCATCCATTCTACGTCCTCTTTTCCTCTGCCTCACCATGGCGAAGATCAGCTTCCGAACTCTACGTGCTCCCAAAATAGAAAAGCAAAAAAAAAGTCCAATATGACCCCTACCCCCTCTTTTCCATTGTATTACCCCTGTTGCACCTCCTCATCCCCCTCAAATCCAGAAATAGGTGACCTTGGGTCTCTCAGTCTCTCAGTCTCCGGGCCCGGGCCCGGGCCCGGGAGTTGCCGGCTTGTCAACAAACTTTAAAAAAAACGTCAAATCAATGACGTGAAGATACCCCTCCTTTTCTGAGGAGTTCGTGGGGTGATGGGTGACCCATTGGGTTTGCGGTTAGAAGCGGGGATGCGCGTGGTGGGGTCGAGCAAGGAAGTGAGGGAGGGGAGGAGAGCGAGAGGAACCTGCGGAGCTCAAGACAGGATCGTCGGCAGCGCGAAACCATTGCTCCACCTCTTGCTGTGTTAGGCCGGAAATGATCCTAACCTACTGATTCAAAGCTGAGTGCGAGATACAACTTGTCCTCTGATTATGAAGGATATCCCATCCTGCTATCTTGCCTCAGTTCAAAATTCGACACGGAATCGCATAAAGCAATGGTCATGATATCGAGAAGGAAGATACATTTGTTCTGCATTTTCTTATGTCAGCTTTGCGTGTCAATCGCATCAATCCTGACATCCGATCATCCTGAAATTCACAAACTAAAGCGCAATAGCAATCAGACCCAAGAATTGCAATACCAGAATATCACAGATAAACAAAATACAATCTGCCATCACAACACAAGGAAGCTCAAAACTATCGAAAGCAGTAGCAGCAGCAAAACCATCTTTGAGGACGAAGCGACAACAAACCCTCAAACAATCCAAAACATCAAAACAGCTCAGCTCCAAAACACCAGTGCAAACGAGATAGAGGAGGATCGGACAACAAACGTCCTGGTCAGCACGCCTGCTCCTACCTCGTCAGGGGACTCCGCGGGTAGCGAACAAGCGGACACGACTGGAGAAGGCATGCAGTCGTCCACGCCGTCACCAGGAGCAGCAGAGCCCGAGGGCTCGAGCAGCGCAGTAGGGGAGGTAGGAGGCCCGATAAGCAGCAGCAGCAGCACGGCAGAGCAGGGGGAGCCAACATCGACACGGGCAGGGGAAGCAGTAAGCACGAGCAGAGAAGAGGCCGGGACGACGACGGGGGCAGGCGAAGAGGAGGCAGGGACGACGACAAGGGCAGGCGGAGGGGAGGGCAGGACGACGACGGGGGCAGGCGGAGAGGTGGATCGGACAACAAACGTCCTGGTCAGCACGCCTGCTCCTACCTCGTCAAGGGACTCCGCGGGTAGCGAACAGTACAAGCTCGGCAGCAGGCGGGGAGGAGGCAGGGGGCACCAGCTCGGCAGCAGGCGGGGAGGAGGCAGGGGGCACAAGCTCGGCAGTAGGCGGGGAGGAGGCAGGGAGTACGAGCCTGATAGTCAGCACGCCCGAGCCGTCGCAAGCTGAACAAGGTCAGACTGGAAGTACAAGCTTGGCAGCAGGCGGGGAGGAGGCAGGGAGCACAAGCTCGGCAGCAGGCGGGGAGGAGGCAGGGAGTACGAGCCTGATAGTCAGCACGCCCGAGCCGTCGCAAGCTGAACAAGGTCAGACTGGAAGTACAAGCTCGGCAGCAGGCGGGGAGGAGGCAGGGAGCACAAGCTCGGCAGCAGGCGGGGAGGAGGCAGGGAGTACGAGCCTGATAGTCAGCACGCCCGAGCCGTCGCAAGCTCAACAAGGTCAGACTGGAAGTACAAGCTCGGCAGCAGGCGGGGAGGAGGCAGGGAGCACAAGCTCGGCAGCAGGCGGGGAGGAGGCAGGGAGCACAAGCTCGGCAGCAGGCGGGGAGGAGGCAGGGGGCACAAGCTCGGCAGCAGGCGGGGAGGAGGCAGGGAGTACGAGCCTGATAGTCAGCACGCCCGAGCCGTCGCAAGCTGAACAAGGTCAGACTGGAAGTACAAGCTCGGCAGCAGGCGGGGAGGAGGCAGGGAGCACCAGCTCGGCAGCAGGCGGGGAGGAGGCAGGGAGTACGAGCCTGATAGTCAGCACGCCCGAGCCGTTTCTTTCATCTTCGTTTCGTGCGTCCAGTACTTCGGCCGCTCTTGTAGGTGTGGACAAGTCGACTACGATGATATTGGAAACTACTCCAGTGCCTCAGGTTCAATTTGTGTTCGTTGCCATTCTTCCGATGTCGATCGGTGAGTTTCAGAGGCAGCAGTCCCAGTACCTTGCCAGTGTCGCCAGCATGGCCAACGTAGATATCTCGCTCGTGACAGTCGTGAGTGTCACAGAGATTTCGTTACGGCGAGGAGGACGAGGAGGAAGATCCTTGCTGGCTGTGGGCGTGGAAGTTGAGACTGCGATCTTGACCAGCAGCGCTCAACGAGACTCGCTGGCTCAGACGGTCAGTCAGGACGCACTCGATCGCGAGCTTGTCAAGAATGGTCTGCCCAAGAGCTTCGCTCTGACGGTCAAGTCGGGAGCAGGGGTGATCCAGGGGATCGCAAACCCCTCAGTCCTCGTCTCCCTCGTCTCGTTGCCACTCGGCCTGCTCTTGATCTGCACGGGCTTTCGTGTCCTGCGCTTGTACAAGAGGAGGCAGGTCCAGCCTCAGCCCTTCGTCAAGGTGCTGCCACTCGATGGCGAGGATGAACCCGAAGGGGAGGCGGACGAGTTCGACCGCTGCTCGTCCTCAGACAGCGAGAGGGTCATAGCGATTGGACACTCAGCAGGGACTACAGGGAGCGTCGGACGTCCTTGGCTGTTAGACGAGTTTGAGAGGCTTGATGAGGGCGACGAGGAACAGTCGGCTGCGAGGAACGGAATTCTTGCTTACAGCGAGCCTGACTTGAACTCTACAGTCGTGGGGAAGCATGGGAGAGACACGCCGCTAGTGGAGCAGGACAGATACATCGACAACTCCAACCAGCTGTGGATCCTGCATGAAGTTGGTTGGTCGCTGTCTCGCGACATTCTGAGCCAGCAAGAGCACATCCCCAGGTCGCTCTCGAACCTTCAAGCACTTCCTCGCAGACCAACACGCCTGCTCCCCATCGCTGGAGGAGGAAAGGTGCACCCGCCGCCATGGGAGAAGAGCCTTCGCTTGAGCCCGACAGCCTTCCTCTTCCTCAACACGACCATACCGGACGACCTTCGCGAGCCTGAAGCTCGTGGGCCTCTGCAGCTTCAGGGGCGACGAAGCCGCGACGAGGATGCAGGGGAGGCGGAGCATCTACCAGGCTCCTCCATGCTTGAGACGGAAGCCAACAGGCAGCATGAGCGAGATGTCGCTCTTGACTTGGCTCTCATGCCAGCGTTCGACATGAGCTTGTCGCAAGGACTTCGCACACTGAAGAAGCTCCCCCGCGGATTCAGAGACTGAGCGAAAAGTACCGCCTGTGACTACCCACAACTTTCAGATTGCAATTGAAGCCCAAATGTTAACTGTGTTAAGTGTTTAAGTGTAAACTGTGTGAACAAGCCAAACAAACACTCTTATCCAGTTTACTGGCCCCATCCATGTGCAGGCTGGTCGTGGAGAAAGAAAGCTACTCCTTCTTCTCCTTGGGTTCCTTGAATCTGTATTCGGGTTTGAAAGGCAAAATGTTTGCACCTCCGAGCAACTTCGCTACTCGGTCGGTAGGTTGTGCACCAACCACCAGCCAGTACTTGATCCTCTGGTAGGGAACAGGTCAGAGAAAGAAGAGCAACAAGAAGGCAGCCTACATCGTAGTTCAACGTGACAAACTTCTCCCCATGCTTGGTCGGCAGGGGGTTGTAAGTTCCCAGGTACTCGAGGCATTTGCCATCTCTCGGAGAGCGAGCATCGGCTGCCACCAGGCGGTAGAATGGCCAGTTTTTCTTGCCGAAGCGCTGAAGTCGCAGACGAACCATGTCTCGCTTCCAGCCCGCACTTGCCATCGCACCCATGCGGCTCATCTCTCCTGCCACATTTCTGCTCATTCCGGTCATCCACGTCCGGCCCCGCCGCCATGCCTCCCGCCCCAAGCCCAGCATTGCAGCACCGCTGAACCACCCCCCTGATTGAGACCCCCCTTTTGGTACCCTACCCTCTAGCACACACACCCTACGTATCAAGGCACCGAGAACTACCCCACCTGTTATTGATTCGCCACCCCCACCTCTTCATATTACCCACCTCGTGATCCCTACCCCACCCCCCATTGCAGCCCTCAGCACTGGGCAGTCTTCCAACAGATAAACAAGGTTCAAAATTCTTTCTTGTTTTTTCAAAATAAAGAATATATTTTGTGCTGGAGGCAGAAATTTCATGGAGGATCAATAGGAGCGTTGAGATGGCCGATGAGCGAAGGGAAGTAGAGCCTGCGCGCATGGTCAACCTGACTGTCCTCGCATGCTGAGGCTTACGGGTAAGATGAGATCCTGCCGTTGCTCCATCCCTGCGCTCCCCGTCACCTCCATCCCCCCCCCCCCCCCTCTTTCGCTCTCACCACAGTAAGCAAGGCTCCTTCGCTTCGAGGCTGGTTCTGATGATCCATGGAGCTTCGAAACGATGGGCGAAATTCCTGGCAACGTGTCAGCCGAGCTAAGAAGAGCAAAGTGCCATCACAGTCAGCGTCGGCAGCGGATCATCCAGTTTCCCTGGCTCGTCCGAAGGCTCATGGCGTTGAAGCTCCGGCGGGCCCTTGATGAATCCGCGGAAAACCTTAGGAAGAAGGTCAAGAGAGCGCGAGCAAGGCCATGAGACTGAATGACCAGACGGACGTGGTTCGAGCGCCCATCGCATTCAGTCAGGTAGAGACCGAGATGATGCTTCTGCTCAGGGTTGTCTCTTGTCCCTGCCAAGGTAATCGCCAGCCTTTCTCCACTTCGATTCCAAGACATGGACAGAATAGATGTGGGAACCATTCCTTGTTCCTTGTTGAACACTTCGATCTGCATGCTAGCGTCAGACTCGCACACGTGCGCTGGGGTCTGCTAGCCTGTTGGAACTTCGAGATGCTGTTCCCGTCTTTGCCTGAAATAATGCAGCTCCACACCTTGCCCTCACCGTCGCTGTTGGATGCCACAAGAAGGTATCGGCTGTTGGGGCTGAAGCATGCCGCCACCAACGACCCGCTCGTCCTGTGACGATGCCAAGACCACGAGCGCGTTTCGTAGAGGGCAAACAGTTGGGTCCTGAGCGCCACTAGCAACAGATTCCCGTCAGGTGACCAGCAGACTTCTCGTACTCCTCCCCTGCAAGACGATGAGCAAGAGCTCAGGGGCGTGACAATGAGAGTCACCCGTATGTCCCCAGGACTGAGAGAGGAGTGAAGGACTCCAACTGCGAGCTCAAGCCTGAAACAGCATCCCACACCACCGCCTTGTCTCGCGACTCGTAACCTGCCGCGAGGTATCTGAAGAAAGCATGTCATGGCACTCAAGGGACTCGCAGGAGCACTACTGCAATGTGGCCTCACCTTCCGCACGGGCTCCACGAGATCGAAGTGACCAGTCGGAACCCCGACAACCTCAGGAAACTCATCCACGCAGAATCAGCGCTGCCTTGCTTTGAGTTTGCCACAAGGTAGAAGTCAGAGCTTACCTTCTTTCAGCCACGTTCACACTGGATGCTTGGGGCAAAGCGTTGACGGGGTCCACTGTTGGTTCCAACTTCCACATGCAAATCCCCTGTGTGGACCAGAGCCACGACAATCATCGTCAGCTTGGAAGTGAGTTGGATGATTCCTGACCTCTCTGCAACCAACAGCGAGGGTGCATCCAGCAAATGGCTGAAACTTGAGACATGTTACCCTTGCAAAAGAGCGTCAGGTCATTACGGGCAAGCGAAGAACAACCCCCGTAAGAACTGATGACGAAGGACAGTAGGGAGCCAAGACTGTCAAGAGATTAGAGGGCTCTCGGAGAAACTCATTCACAAGTACTTCTGTGTCCATGTCATAGAAGGCGATATAGTTCGCGTGTCCGTCCTTCAAAGCCACAGCAAACCTAAACAAGAGACGCATCAGCCATCCTGACTTGAGCTGTGAGCACCACCTGTTCAGATAAGGATGCCAGCTCAAAGCATCGATCGTCTTCCCCTTCTCCACTTTGGGATCTATCGATTTCAAATCAACAACCGCTGAGAAGCAGACGATTCACCTTTTTCAACATGGAGTCCAAACATGCTGAGGAGTCTGAAATATTGATTCCAGTAAAGTTTGAGTTGACTACAGGAACACTCAGATACAACTCATTCTAAAACAATCAAAAAAACTTGAAATTAATTCGCGATCCTTGTTGCAAGCCGAAGCAAACAACAGCAGTGAAGAAGATAAGTCCAGAGATGATTCCGTGAAGTATGGCAGTTGTGCTTCTTGCGACGTCAGAGTCCCACGGCAAGTTAATCCGACTCACCTCGATTCGTAGCACGTGATGACGATTGCCCCCATTAGAGCAACTGGGAAAGCTGCTTCGAAGAGCGGATCTGATCTCGTTCCGTCCTTGGTGTTGACATGTGGCGAGGAGGGAACCTGAATCAGAGGGTAGACCGCGCCCTTGGCCTGATGATACTCCAAGAGCTTTCGCTCAGCAGAAGGCAGCATCCCTCCAACTTTCTTGTCGCCATCCACGTCAACTGCATGAAGGATCAGGAGCGGAACCTTGGATGATGGAGAAATCTTTACGTAGAACACCATCCATCTCCGCAACTGTCACACTGAAAACGTGGGAGGACATCTGAAGACCATGATCCTTGATCAGTTTGAAGTCATAGACGATCAGATCTCTCCCTCCCTCCTTCCCTCCCTCCCTCCCCCTCCTGCCGTCCCTCCCTCCCTCTCCCTCCCTCCGTCCCTCTCCGTCCGTCCGTCCGTCCGTCCGTCCCCTCCCTCTCCCTCCCTCCCTCTCCGTCCGTCCGTCCGTCCTCTCCCTCTATCTCTCCCTCCCTTCCTCCCTCGCAATCAAATTTCCCGCACTCCGCATGGGGTTGGTACCCCTCGTCCCCGCACATAACCATGCGACTGATGCACCAGCTGATGCACCGGATGAAAGAAAGGGTTGTGGTGCCGCCGAGATGGAAGCAATCAGAGAAGAAGAGAAGAGAAAGCGAAGATGTGATCAGGTGATATCATCATCATCATCATCATCATCATCATCATCATCATCATCATCATCATCATCATCATCATCATCATCATCATCATCATCATCATCATCATCATCATCATCATCATCATCATCATCATCATCATCATCATCATCATCATCATCATCATCATCATCATCATCACCAGCATCATCATCATCACCACCACCACCACCACCATCATCATCATCATCATCATCATCACCATCATCATCATCATCATCACCACCACCATCATCATCATCATCATCATCATCATCATCATCATCATCATCATCATCATCATCATCATCATCATCATCATCATCATCATAAAAATTGTAGAAGGATGGCTCAAACCAGGCATGTGATAGCAGATGGAGTAAGAGGATCCTTCCGTGTGTCACAGAGAGAAGAGGGTTTCAGAAAGTTAGGATGAGGAGGATGAGGATCAAGTGCAGGACGTACTTGTCGTGGTACTTGTTGCTGATGCGTTGAATGACTTGCAGGTGACCGCGTCTCTTCCAAGAGATTGAGAAAGAGGAGTGCGATGAAGGTGAGAGGAGGAGTGCTGGCGAGCAGGAAGGATGCTCTGCACTACGAGAAACAACTTCTTACAGCAGAGGAGAGGTGCAGCATCGCGATCGAATCGCGAGAGCTGGCTGCAGCTGAAGCAGAGTTTGCCATCCGGGTGCTGCGAGAAGCTGAGAAGGCGTATGTGAGGGGATGCGACACGAGAGAGAAGCTGGCAGGAGACTACGGGGAGCTGCGGCTGGAGGTGGACGTGGCACTGGAGCAAGTTGAAGCTGCTCTCCTCGCGTCCAACCAGGAATCGATTCGTGCGCTCACAAGGTTGAAGTCAGCAGAGGAGGAAGTGAACGTGGCTATGCTTGCGCTGCGTCAAGCCGAGATAGATCATGAACAGGCGGCAGCCAGGCAGAGGAGGCTCAAACAAAACGCGAACCATCCTAGTCTCCTTCACAAAACCCCAGCTGAACCCACAGCGCTGCCGTCCAACCCCCCCATGCTTGATGCCTCTGAGATTTCCATGCGCGACGAGAGTGTGTGTGTTTCTCCGACGAAGATCGCAAGTCTTGATGGAACTATGGACGCGGAAGGGATTGCGGAAGGGAGAGCAGAGGAGACGCGAAGGCGCCTGAAGCTCAAGGGGGTCGCTGTGGAAGACTTGTTCCCCCTCTCTGTTCTCGAGGACCTTGAAAGATGCGTCGATGGACGGGGAGCCGAGATGTCTGACGGTGGCGGGGGCCCAGGTCAAGAAGATGAGCGTCGCTCCAAGCGCGTGGGAGGGGGAAGGGAGGCCGTCAAGCTGCTCGGGTTCGGGACGTCTGCTTGCTGCCTGGGCGCTTCGTTGAGCGGTGAAGCTGTCGCAGCCCCTGCTGAGCTTCTCCCAGTCCTCGAAGCCTTCGGGGGTTCGCCTCCCGTGACCCTCGCGTGCAGCAACCATCATGTCCTCGCTGTGTCTGAGAGCGGCGAGGTGATGGCATGGGGAGACAACGCTCTCGGTCGCCTCGGTCTTGCTGCTGCTGCTGCTGCTGCTCGCTCGCCCTCAAAGGTCTTCCTGCCTGTGCCTGTGGCGGGGCTGCGAGGGATCGTCGTGTCCAAGGTCGCGTGCTCGGACCAACACTCGTTGGCCCTCACCGATGACGGCGAAGTCTTGGCGTGGGGCTGCGCAGCCTACGGCGTACTGGGGATTGCAGACGTCTCGAAGCTCGCGGTCGATGCTGAGCTCAACCTCCCCTTCTCTCCGACGCCGCGCAAGGTCGAGGGGCTTCACGGCCCTCTCCTCCGCCACCGCGTGACCGACATCAGCTGTGGGAGGCACTTCAACGTGGCAGCGAGCGAGGGAGGACGGGTCTTCTCGTGGGGCTCCGCATCCTTGGGCTGCCTGGGCGTGGGAGAAACTAGCGCGCTGCCTTCCTCCAACATGAATCGCTCGAGAAGCAGGTGGAGCGCTACTCCCCTCCTGCTGGAGGGCCTCAAAGGTCAGAAGATCTGCCGGATCTCCTGCGGCGTCAGCCACACGCTGGCGCTGAGCGAGGGAGGAGAAGTCTGGGCATGGGGGAGTGCCGAGTACGGGAAGCTCGGGGTAGGTGACGTCAGCTCTCTCCCAGCTGACGCTGAGGGTCACGTGTTCTCTCCCATCCCCCTGCACGTCGATGAGCTGCTCCTCCTCCTCCTCCTCCTCCTCCTCCTCCTCCTCCTCCTCCTCGTCCTCCTCCCTCTGGTATGGTCTCATTGTCGCTTTGTAGGTCTCTGCGGGCAGCAGTCACAGCATGGCGGTGACTCGACAGGGCATCGTCTACGCGTGGGGAAGCGCCGAACATGGTAAGCTGGGGCAAGGTGAGAACAAGCAGCAGCAGCAGCAGCATTTTGACCGTTTGTGCAGGTATGATGCCTGAGGAAGACTCTGCGGTTGTTTCTCTGCGCGCGAGACGCTGGTGGCCCTTCTGCCCTTCACCGATGGAGGTAGAGGAGGACGAGGACGAGGACGAGGAGAAAAGGGAGGGAGACAGGGCGAAGGAGGGGAGGAGAGGCGAGCCCTGACGTTCCTTAGGTTCACTCGCTGAGAGGTCGATTGGTGGATCAAGTCGCTTGTGGTGAATTTCATTCCATGGCCGCGACCTCGGACGGAGAGGTAGGTGACAGTCAAAAGTCTTGCCAGAGCTAAGAAACCAGCAGATCTTCTGCTGGGGTCTGTGCAGGGACGGAAGTCTGGGAGTGAGAACTCAAGAGTGTGAAGGAATCGAACACCTCCCAGCAGAGGTCCCCCCTCCCTCCCTCCCTCCCTCCCCTCCCTCCCCTCCCCTCCCTCCCTCCCTCCCTCCGTTTTCCCCTCCCTCCCTCGCCTCGCTTGCTTGCTTGCTCG